CCCCAAAACCCCAAAACCCCAAAACCCCAAAACCCCTAAATACTCATTAATGTTGAAGATAATTATTTCTTTTAAGGAAAGTTCTGCATAAAGCTTGCCTTATATTTACACTGATAAGTCATATCATGTCTCTGGATAGCAGAGGCATGCTCCTTTGCTATCTTACTGAGAATATAAGTCTGATCTTTGAGTTTAGAAAGATTTTCTAAGTTAAAATTTAAAGATTTCTGCTTTCAGCCTAAAGTTATTAAGTGATATTTACTTGGCTTCGTCACCATAGAAAGGTCATTTTCAGATACTCTGAAACTAGTGATTCTGTGATGATGCTTTCTTGGTGCTTTATCTACAGTATTAGCAGCATACTTCACTTGGGATATCACATCCCCTATTTCCTTTTATATAGCCTCTTGCTGTAATAGATTGGCATCTTAGAACTATCAGAATTGCTTAGAAGCTTCTTAGGTGGCTCATGATTTTCTGTTCTAAAGTAGATATTTCTGAATGAATTACTCTTCATCCATTTTGGAATGATATTTCTCCATTCTGTTGATAATATTATTTGTCTTAAAATGTTAAAATCCGTTCTTACCCTGGAAGAGTCGATGTGTTTATGGCTTCTAAAGAGTAAGAATTGTTCAATGCAAAGTTAATTACTTCGGCACTGAAGTTGAGTGGGAAATCCTATCCGCCCTTGTTTCTCTTGTGTTTTGGCCTTTTGTAAAGTTATTTATGTTTAAATTTACCTTCTAACCCAAGATTTAAAGATGTTTATTTGAAACTTACACATAGTGTCATTCAGTTTACGAAAAGAGACCTGTATCACACTTTTATTCTACAAGATAGCACAAAAATGGTTACTAGCCCCTTAATTAGAGATCGTTGGTAGTATCCAAGACAGATCGAGTGATTTCCTGATATTTTTATTCCTAAAAGGACAGTTTGCCCTTGCAAATATCCGTTCTTTGATATCTTCCAACTTAAGCTTATTAGCAAATTTGTTGGACAAATTGAGTGATTTAAAAATACTAGTCATTTTAGAAACTCTTGGAGTAGAGGAATCTGCTTGTTGACAAGTGAGCAGTGAAGAAATTGGTTCATCTTCATTTCTTCCAGTGAAGGAATCAGCATGACTGCTCATCAACTCTGCACTCGTAGAAAGGATACTCTTGATCTTTACTTTCTTTCTCTCAGATACACTCCTCTGAAACATTAAAATTGTGGCACATACCATTGATATTTCAGGGAGGTCGATCCTTATCTTCTTTTTAAATTTTTTTGGATTGGCTTCTCTACATTGTAAATTGTTTGGAATACTTCTTTCTCCTGCCCTGTTTCTCTTCCTTTATTTTTGTTGGTATAGTGTCTAAAGTTTTACATTAGGATTTTCACGAAAAAGAACTGCAAATGGTATAATTCTGAAAAACAAAGGTGAAAGTTCTTCTTAAAATCTAATTTTTGCATGCTAATAAATAAACTACATGCATAGAATTCTAAGCTGGAGCTTGATTAACCTTCCACATACCCTAAATCCCCAACTCATTTACCAAATGTGTCAAATTGTAAGGCTGCGGTTTCACAGTTGTGTTTCTTGGCCTTGATAAGTTTCTTGACATCAATGACAATATCCTATGGATTGTTTATCCCATAAATTCTTAAGATGTATTGCTAGCTTCAAGAAAGCATGCAAATTGGCTCCATAAGGCAGATACTTACTTTAATTCTGTAGGTTTTCTTATCCATAGGCATAAACTAAATTATTGAGATTTTTAAACTTTAACCAACCTTGAATGATATAATAGGGGTTTTGGGGTTTTGGGGTTTTGGGGTTTTGGGG